ACATATGTTACGGAAAAAAAAAAAAAAAAAAAAAGGCAAAATGTGAAGAGACGGTGGTTGGTGCCAATCGGTGGCGCTTAAAAATTTTGGGCAGAGAATTGTTCAGGAAATTTACAAATAAAAACAGTTGAATCAATTGTAAAAAATTGCCTTCCCTCTCAGAAAAGCACGAATCGATTTAGGGATCCACCATCCGCATTATTACGTTCACATATATATATTATTTATAAATATATATATACGCATGTTCATGTACATTGCGGTTTTGCGTCCACGACGTTTATATGAAAACACGTACAAGTCGAGTAAAAATGTGAAGCGCATAAAAAAAAAAGGGCGGGGAGGGATCTCAAAAGGGTAAAAAATTCCTAAGCGAAGGAACCCTTACAGGGAGAACAACCACCGACGTGTTATGGCAAACGCAACGTTGCTATTTATGCACAACTTAAAATGTAGAGAAAAAAAACAAAAAAAAAAAAAAAAAAAAAACGACTGTCTTGGGCAAGTACGGCAAGAGAACGCACGTATAGATATGTATACATGTACATTTGCTTACCCATTCGTGCGAGGGGCAACTTGATAGGCCCCCACGGAAAAGAGCAGGATAATCTTTTTAAACAGTTATCAGTTTTATCCCCTCCAGGCGCGCTCCCTATGTTACCATACCACGTCAACCCAGCTTTTGTAAATTTGCACAAAACATGAGCAAATTGGGTAGACATACAAACAACTGCACGCATGCAGATGTAGAATAATACGTCCCTCTTTTGTTACAACTCCGGAGAGGCAAGTCCCCACCTCGGTTGGACCAAGGCACTTAAATCAAGTCATACTAACGAGGGGTGCGCATTTGCATGTGTCTTGCAAAAGTTTTAGCCTTTCACAACTGCAGGTTAGTACGAACAAGTTGGTTGTAGACGTTTGTCATCTGCGGCACTGCACCGACACATGCAGTTGGCACGAATGACGAACCAGAGTAACAACATGTTAACGCGCTTGGTGAGGGTGAAACGATTGTAGAAAAAAGATATTCAATAGGGTAGACTCACCCCTAAATGCGCTACCTTGCACATACGTGAATGTGCGTCCCCCTAAAAGAGGCATGCATGAACGGACACCATCCTATAAAGCCATGAAACTGAAAATGGGCTCACTAAAATAAAGGAACAATGTTCGAGTTTTTTTAAGACCTACCGTAGGACCCCATGTACATTCGTGTGTGTTAATGCTTCCCTAAAAAAAAAAAAGGAGGGGAAAAAAACCGGTACTTGGATCCATGGAAAGGACAAAAGTGTCCTTCTCTGCACTCGTTTCACAGTTGAATGAGGCGGTGTGAACAGTACCAAAGCTAGCCCAAAATTTTATGTCTCACTATACTCTTTAACTTTAAATTGGGTACCCACATGCTGCTTGCCAAATTATCGAAGCGCAAGGTGCCACGACCAGGAGCTCTCCTTTGTGGCGTACGGACAATTACAGGATAAAAGGGGCACTACTGAAGGGCCTCCGTTCTTTGTGTACATTATGAAATTTCCACACACAGTGCTAAATTAATTATGCTGTATCTTCTTCACAGCTTTTACGAAAAGGCTCCAACTGGGGGAAATGCTTACGTTAAAAAGGATGAACTTTGGTGTAGAGCGCGCGTCAGACCTTGCACAGAATGAAACTAATTTTGAAAAATTTGCACACACGCGTGGGTGAATGTGCATAGGTAATACATTCCAGCTAGCTGTTACTTTGCCGCGTTTTTTTTTTTTTTTTAAAAATAGCTATTTACATGAACAAGTCAGATTTTTTTTTTTTCTCCCTTTTTCACCTCTTTTAATAAGAGTTATTTGGAAGAAGCCTCACAAAACGGTCGGACAGACGACCCAGTTGGCCGCAAAAATGGGGAAACTGTGGAAGGGGGGAAGCGCCGCTACCTATGCCCCAGCAACTGCAGCTGCGTGAAAATGTTGCACATGTCCTGGTAGGAATCGGCGGAGGAGTTGTCGAGCACGCTCTTGGCCTCATCAGCCGAAATGGAATACGTGACAGTTTTAACATTCTTGTCAACGTAGAACAGGTTCAGTTTTCGAGTAGGGGGGCTGTTCTTCACGACGTTGTATCTGCATATGCCTATTAAGTACCACGCCGTTTTATAAATCTGTGTGTGGAGGAGGAGATAATCTTGGATCGTGGCCTTGGCGTAGTGTACCATGAGTTCCTCATCAACCGTGTAAGTGTGAAATGAGGTGAAAAAAAGTTGGTCTGTTTTTTTTCTATTGTATGTGTACATATCTTGTACATTCTGAATGGACTCATTAAACGTATCATTGTTGCAGAAGTTTTCCCCCTTGTCAAAGGATAGGACATAAATCCTCGAAAACTTTTTCTCAACATCATTTTCGTTTTTAACATATTGACTTGTAGCTGCTCTGACGGTATCCATTCCTTCCGTGTCAGTTAATAATAAAATGCTATACTCGCTGTGCATGTAGTTTCTCTCCTTGCCCTTTATATATTCAGCAAAGGAGATGACTTTATCGAGCGCTGCTACAACATGTGGAACGTCTGAAGATTTTTGGACAATGTCAATTTTGACATTTTCAGCATCGACATATGTGTACATACTGATGAGTACATTTTGGTTGGAGTAATTAACTAGGTAATATTTATTGTATGGAAGAGGGAGTATTTTTTTTTTTAAAAATTCAACAATGTCCGTTTTTCCACTTCGCATGTGTGAATTTAAAAAAAATGCATCATCAATTAAGATAATGGTGATGACACTAATAAGGTGATGATCGAAAATGTTCTGCGAGACTGATTCGTAGTTCACAGGGAATGTTTGTCTGTACGTTTTTTGGAACGTGAATTTATCTCCATTCTGTGATGAAGCCGTCTTTGCATGGAAGCCTTCCCTGTTATGCTGATTAATGAGGAAGGGCTCATACACTCGGTAGCAATTCACTGCTCTGAAGAGAAGAAATAAGTGAGACTCATACAAATGATACTTGCGCAATGTTATGATCAGGTTATTTACACAAGGTGCTTTGGCGTTATGTTTTATTATATGGTCTATGTCTACATATAGATCCTTCTGTACACGTTTCGCATGCTTCTTCGTTTCAACATTCATTTGTAAGGTAAATTCTTTCTCTCCTTCTGGAATGACAAGTGGGAATAAAAGAGTGAAGTGTTTGTTCGTAGATCTGTATGAGTTAATTTTGTATAATACACTCTGCTGCTGTTTCGAGCATTCGTGATATACTAAATCGTAGCAGGAGGTATGGACATGTGCATCACACGTGTCAGGTAGGTGTATTTTCTCCTTTGTGTCCTTTGCACTAGGGAGAGGAGGTGCCACCAAAGGGGTGGAATTATTTTGGAGGGACAATTTAATTTCTACTTCCTTCTCATCGAACAGGAACACATTCAGGTAGAACAGATACGTGTTGTTGGGTAGCTTCTCTCCAAAGTAAAGGTCACTTAGGAACATTTTTTTATTTTCTATTGGGTATGTAAACAGGGCTTGTGCTTCCTTTATGTATTTGTTTTCATCATTTAGGCAGCTAATACTGATCTTCCAGTAGTCTTTGCTGTTGTGCTTGGTAACGTTGAGGGCGAACTTTACCAAGTCATTATTTCGAATGGATGTCTTTTGAACATGCAAACGGTGTTGATCATTTTGAATTGGCTTGAATGCTGAGTTGGGTAACATGAGCTTCATGTTATGGTGGTCCAGTCGATGTTCGCTCTTGCTTGTGACTGACGCGAAAGTGTGAATGGTTTTGAGCTCCACTATGCACTTGTTGAAGAGGTACGTCTCCGGGAAGCGCAGCTTGAGTTGAACTAGCAGGGGGTTCTCCAGCAGGCCGTGCTGATCAGTTGGCTGCGCAGGATGGTGGGGAGCGGTGTGGCGATGGGTGTGGTGAGCAGCGTAGTTAGCAGCGTAGTTAGCAGAGTGACGGAAGTGCCCGGATAAGCCGTTGCCTACGTGGCGGCCACTCCATCTCCCCCTGCGTTTACCTCCACCACGAGGGGCGTCAACTTAGGCGTGGGTACCACCGCTAGGTGGGAGTTCATCCACGTGATGCTGTCCGCATGAACGTTCACAAAATTTTTAATGAACTTCCTAGAGCACAGGTCGTTGGAGACCTTCTCCAGCATTTCTTTGTGTTCCTGCCTGATCACAAAGTTGGAGTGGTCTACTGTGAAGAGGTTTATGGTCCAGTCTTTGTCGCTCTCGAGGTTGATGAGGGGGTGGTTGACGTTTTCCAGCAGCACTTCCACTTGGTCCTTCACCTCCTTCGGGGGGTAGAGCGAAGATGAGAAGATGCGAAGTTGGGTAGGCGGTTCATCGGGTGGGCGGTTCACGGGATACACGCTTGACGGGATAGACGCTTGGCGGGGTGGGCCTCTACCCAGTTCGGGCGCCGCGTTTCGCCCACCTCGCCCGAGCTGGACTTCAACACAAACTCGTAGTTCCTAAACGTGTACGCGCATTGCTCGAAGGGGCCGGCCTTTACGTTCCGGCACGGGTCCTCCTTGTTTGCACTGAAGCAGGAGTTGGCGTAGCAGAGGTCTGGGGGCATCTTCAGGTGGATCACCACTTGGTCTTAGGGGGCACGATGTAGGGAAGAAGAAGCAAACGAAAGTGTACATGCGATGCTATACACACGTGAGATGCTATACACACACGTGCCATGGTCTCCACTCCTACCCAGCTTCAACGCAGGAACAATTTTGTCTAGGCTCATTTGAACCGTGTACTGCACCCCCTGGGCTCCATAAAACGTTTTGGTGGAAAATATTTTCACGTCAACAGGTGTTCTCAGGTCGCGAACTACGTTGAGCAGCTGCGAGAGGGGCGTAAAAGGAAATGTACGTTTTGTGAGCATTGCGCGTGCGAGGTGGTGAAGAGATGCATGGAGACACGGGGACGGACGTCGCAAAGGTCGACTCCCATGAGGGGCATCCCAGCCCATGCGAATACGTTATTAATTTATTCATTCATTTGTACCTCCGCGTTGGTGGCACTGTTACAGTACAATAGGAAGAGGTCGTTGTGGGTGACCATCGGGAGAAAGACATTCGCCAACTCATTGGAGTAAATTGTGCACTCTTGGTTCCCCGTGCTAGAGTTGTTCTTTTCGGCTAGGGCAAAAATCCTGCGAGGGGGGGAAGGGGGGGGATTGCAGGTTTGCTTGCGGCGTTGTCCATAGGACTATGTGCGTGGGGCAGTTTTACCTCACCAAATGTCGCACGTCTCACCAAATGCCGTCCGAGCTGAACCCGCCCTTGGCGACCTCCACAGAGATTTTTAAAAAGTAGTTTGAGGGGTAGATGGTTGCTTCGCTGGGGAAGAAGTTTTCTGCACAGGGGTCGCGGGGGACAAAAAAAAAAAAAAGCACACACACATATATACACATACATGTAGGCGCACTTAATCGTTTCTATACACCGAGCGCAATTCTACACGTATGTATATATATGTGGATGACGGTACGTGAGTGTGTACACGCCTGGTTAAATGAATTTAATAACTTAGCGACTGCTCTGAGTATTCATATGGGGAAGGGACAGGTGGTGGCTTCTCTTTGTTCGAAAATGGGTAGCGATAAATTTTGAATTTTTTAAGCTCCTCCGTGGAGAGCTTCAGAAGGTACATCTTAGATGTGATTAAATAATCACATGGGTCTGAGTTGTGTGAGGAGAAAGGAAAGGTGTGGCCCAGGATGATCCTCTCTACTACATCTGGGTGAGTGTATATTGCTGGAGGAACCGACACACAAGTGTGTGTATCAGGGTTTACCTTTTTCTCCCGCAGTGTCCTTGTTCAGGCGGATGTCTACATTTTCCTGCACCGCCTTGTCGTCTTCTCTTTGGAAGGCCAGCACTTGCAGGTTTTCTTGCGGGGAGCGAGAGGTGTGGCAAGTGGGTCGTAATTTCGTGACAGGAAGGCGGGGACGCATATAAACACCGCCTCTCTCTCTCTCTCTCCCTCTGTCTGTGAGAGACGAAGCGAGACCAGCCTAGGGCAGCAGCCAAAACACGTGTACACCTTATGTACCCCCACCCACCCCCTGGTGCACGTGGATGCAGACTTACTGGCGGGGATCAACGCCGTTAGGAAAAATTCTTTTGAAGTTTTTTTTGTGTTGAAGGACAAAACGAACTCTATTTCAAATTTGAGGACGTCATTTTTAATTGTGTTTACCTTTGGGGCAAGGAATCACTTGGAGTATGTATGTGTGTGTGTGTGGGTTTTTTTTTATTTCATTACAGTGTGTTTGTTGCTGCCCTCGTGATGTGCACTCCCCTACGTGCACTTTCGCCGTTTCCCTCCTTACCCTATTCACCTCCTTAAACGCGAACGCAAAATTGTCGTCGTAGATGGAGACGACGCTTCCCACCAGCAGCCAACATACAAGCGAATAAAAAAGTAGGAACCCCATTTTGGTGAACTCCCTTTGCTGGTTGTCTGCCCGTTCGAATGCACACCCTTTCTCGTCGCGCAGCATGCGCTATATATACCCATGTGTGTGGTGAGAAACGTGTTAGAAGCACAGAAAGGGTTGCCTTGTCTGCTGACGTCCTTTCATTTTTAACCCCCGCAAAAAAAAAAAAAAAAAAAAAAAAAAAAAAA